CCATTGCCATCAGCGGTCCATTCTAGATGCCGATGGTAAAATCACAATCTTGACCTAAAGCTCTAGATATATCAAAGTAGCACAAAGGTCCTCCATTTTTTATCTAATAACAATATCATATTTAAAAAAATTATTAATAATAATGGCTACAATTACACCATGCGATTAGTCCGCGACCTATACGATAGGAATCCTTGTTTAACCGATAGATTAAACAAAGACGCCTATCGTATAGGCCGCGGACTAAGCACACGGTGTAAACCAGGCTATTGAGTGCTTATTGGACTACAGCCACCAAGTCAAAGATGGCGGTCGAAACAGCCAATAGGAAAGATGTCGGTATTTCGGCTAAAAGAATTGCACTACTTTGATATACCTAGACTCTAGAGCTTTATTTCGACGTGCTCGGGGCTCAGGGGAATCCTCTTCTTTTCGTTCGAGCACATATAAACACAGTCATCGAGCTCCGGAAAGGAAGAGGGCAAAGCCTCCTTCAGAGTTGCATTCCGAAATTCAACTCTGTGAACCCGAATATCATTTTTATGTTGTTCATTGAATATTGAACAAGGATACTGTGCAAGAACTTCAGCTAAAAAGAACAAACCTTAAGTCTTACATCTTATCAGCAATATCAGTATGCATGGCAAAATACGGGCACAGGGACTCCGCCATTCCCCTCGCCTATCGCATCAATAACTTCTATGTGTAATTGAAAAAAAAAATCATATTAATAATTATTATGTAATTGAAAAATACCGAAGAATTAAATATTGAAGTGTATCGATTTAAAAAAAAATATGAACGAACGTTTACTACTGGCAGCGACATAGCTTTGCTTTTGATACATGATACATACTACATAGGGGTATGTCTAATCTTTTCAGATTTTCATTATTTTTAGTATACAATAAACTCATTTTCATTTAAGGTGAAAATTTAATTTAATACATAAAATGCATGCATATGTATCGAAAAATGATGATGCATTCAATAAATTTTTTGTTAATAACTTTAAAATAAATAACGAGCGACAATTAAAACTTCTTGATTATTACTTTGAAACATATCTTTGACAATATATGTTAATGTTATTGACTTTTGAAGGGATTGATCCTATGTGAATATTTATCATAAGACGATAAATTCACTATCTATAATTGATATTTCTGATAAAATTTAGTTTTCTATAATGCTGCTAGTATAATAACTGATTTACATTTACCACTGCAACATGGTGTTTATTCATTCATAATTTTTTGACTATTCTAAATTTTCGAAAACAATTGTTTAGTAGGCTGCATGAAATGTACTATATTTGATGGCACAATCGTCCTTTATCATACCATCTTATTTCTATTTCACACGCATATCTAATTTAATCATAACTTTTTACACTTTTGCAGCAAGAACTTCAAGATCTTTGATACATTGGTGAAGAGTCGCTTTTTCTTGTTCAGGAGTGATAGACTTTAATACTCCATTCACAATCCATTGCACCATATGCTTTTGTGCAATTCGACGTTCGAGGTTTTGTATTTGTACTTGATAGTCAAGACGATTCTTCACCTGTAAACAGTAAGTAAATAAAAATTTCTAAATTGTTAATTTTTTTCTTTATGAAGAAATTTAATACAAAAACAATGCTATAATATAACGAATATTTAAAATATGTTTGTTTAATAGTTTCATATATAATAATAAATACAGGATTTTAAATAAAAATTTTATTTTAGTAATAAAATAAGTATATGCAAGAAAGCTGCTTAAAAACTACTAATCTGAATTTTTCAATTTCACTGAGTTTATTAATCCATATTTTAATTTTCAGATATGATACAAAACAGATATATTAAAGTTAATAGCTATATTCTTTAGTGTGTAACATTGGAATACTTATTATATAATTAATCACAAGTAAATTTATATTATTCTTTGATAAATATCTTTTTAATTATTTTATTGTTTTATATTTTACTATATAAAAGTTATACCTCTTGGTAGACCTGCACCATGCGTTCCCTGTAAGTTGCTTCCAGCTGCATTTTAACGTTCTCTTTTTTAATGTCCATTATCATTTTCTGTCCATCTAAATTCGACTGTTCTTTTTTTTCATGTGAAATTAGGTCTTCATAATGCTTTATTTCTTGATTTCTACCCTCATTAAGTTCCTCATCATATTTATCGATTCCTTTATCCAATGCCTGAGCAAGTTTTGGGCCAAGAAATTTTACACTCCCTATACACATTATCATCAAAGATATTCCAGTATAAAATTCATGTTCCAGTACATAAATTTCTTTGGAAACTAGATAAGTGCTCAGGCTTATAGCAAATACGTATGGTCCTAAAAATAAAATAATAATGATAATAAGAAGATAGATGCTACTTGATGCTAGAAATGTTTCGAAGCATTTTATTGACTAATTAGAAGAAAGAATTTTATTAATTTACCAATTAAAGGATGCTTCAAACCATTTGTAGCATCACGTGAACCACAGCTGATATTGTCACTTCATATATTATAGAATAATGCGATATAACAAAAAAGTTAATTTTTAGAAAAAAGTTAAAAGTGTAAAATAGATGTTTTTGTTTAAGATTTCTTTTTGAAA